ATATATATATATATATATATATATATATATATATATATATATATATATATATATATATATATATATATATTTCTATCTTCTCAAGTTAATTACATGCAATAAGAGGTACATGTAATTGGTTATAACAAACATCACATGATAAACTTTAATATAGGATAAACTTCCTGTTATAACATGTGATTTAACATTCAATAGCGTAAAAATTCTTTATAATGGTAATGTATATAGTTTAAACTCTTTAAACTTGCCCAACGATATTCCTCTTAAATATGTTATTATCTCCATCGAACCTTACAATTTGCCGATTAGAGCATGAGTGGATCGAGGTGGTTGTGTGCCATTGTCACATATAAAACTAGTGTCGGTTAAGAAGTTGAGATTTATGGTGTCATATTCTTTGGAAAACGACAACACCATACCAAATATGTGTAGTGGTTCAATTCCATTCAAAATTTTTAAAAGGATCCATTCAAATTTAAGCTAACATTTGGACATAGATTTGGTTAAAATTTTATAAAATTTTTTTGATTTTTTATTAAAAAAAAAAATAATTTTGGAAAGTTGAAATTGTATTTGGACGTATATTTTACTTCAAAAAAAATTTGAATTTTGTGAGTGGAAGGAAAAATTTCACCCAAAAACTACCCTAAACCAGTTTTTGAGAACTTAATTTTATTTTTTCATGCAATATACCCAAGTGGGTAACGCAAAAAATCTCGACTCTTGTTCTCAGCAATAATCATTTGACAAGGAGATTAAAGACTTAAATAGGACCACCCTCTGATAAAAAGGCTATTTTTTATACCCCAATAGTATTATTGAAAATTCTTTTTGTACATTTACTTACTTACTTTCTATTTGCAGTCTCTTGGTTCGTACTTAATTCCTTTCGTTTCCATAATTTATATTTACTTACAAAATGTGGCTGAACAGCAGTTCTTTATACAATAATGAGAGAGTTCTTCTTGAAGAAGACGCATTATCATTACGCGATCTGCCCGAAAATGAAGAGAACCAAACAAAGAAAGAATCTCCGCGAGGAAGCTTAACACAAGAAGAGTTTGATTTCTGCTCCTGCGTTGGTTCTTTGTTGAAAGATTCAGAAATATGCAGCGCAGATGAAGTTTTTTTCCAAGGCCAAATGTTGCCTCTACATTGTTTGCCAAGCGATAGGCATAACAATAATGTTTTCAAGGGCGGAGCTACATATACTGAACGAGGTTTAATTGAATCCTCGTCCTCAACAAGTTTTTCTCAGCAAATAAGGTAACAATAATCTTATGCTCTCTCTAGTCCTTCTTAAATGTCGGTTAAGGTTTTGGAGAGCTCATTTAGAAAACTATTTAATAGCTTTAGTTGTGAGAATTATTTGATTAAATTAAATTTTATCTATCCTCGAGATTAATAATGATATATGGAGCCATTGGCGAAGCCACATGGTCATATTTCGTCGAAAAAATACACTGTGTATGTAAATAAAATATTATTATGTTTTAGAGGTATATACTTCCTCCGTTCCAATTTATGTAAATATGTTTGACTGGGCACGGAGTTTAAGAAAAAATAAAACTTTTAAAATTTGTGGTTCTAAATAAGTCAAAAAGGGGTCCAGAGTAGTTGTGTGGTTTTAAAAGATTCTCATTAAGGGTAGAATGAGAAGTTTAAGCTAAATTGTTTTCAAATTTAGAAATGGGTCAATTTTTTTGAACCGGACCAAAAAGGAAATAGGTTCACATAAACTAGAACGGAGAGAGTAACACATATTGAACACCCTTTATCGAGAAATTTTTTTACTTATTTAAAATTTAAATACTTTTGAGAAAATTCCTAACTTCGCCACTAAGCAAGCAAGGGTAGATTTAAGAAAAAAATTAATGCCTTCTTGTTTTCCTACAGCGCACTTGGAATTCGAAACCAGTTTCGTTCTCAACCAAGCCCGACAACCCAGGTTCAATTTTCAAAGATCATACACAGAAACATCAGTAGACCTAACCCAAAGCCGAAAATGTGGAGTCATTTTCGTGTTGGGTTGGTGAAAACACCAGAAATTGCATTACAAGATCTTAAAATTCGATGCAACAAGGATTTCATAAGTCAAAATAGCACGAGTAGTAGAAGTAGCAATAGCAGTTCGAGCAATGACAATAGAAGGAGGATTATATTAAGCAAGAAAAAGAAGCAGAGGAAAAGAGTATTTCCTGGAAGCTGCAAATCAGTTGAAATAGTTCCTAATTCTAAAGTTGTTACAATAAACAGAGCCAGCACAAATATGAATTTGAAAGAGGAAATGAATGACCATAATTATAAGGATGTTACAGAGATGACGGAGAACAAAAAAAAGAAACAAATCGGGACACGTCATCGAACGTTTGAATGGTTAAAGCTACTTTCACTTGAAAGTCCAGCAGCTGAAACATAGAGATTCTAAACATCAGTATCACGTATGATTGAGAAGGGGAGCCGTAAATACAGTGTTCTGCAAAAATACAGAGTGAGATTGCGTAGAATAAACACTTGCAGTCCGATTCTTTCTTGGACACTGCGCATAGCGAGAGCAAATTAGTGCATCGAGCAGTTTTTTTTTTTTTATTTTTTTTATTTTTATTTTTATCACGCATGCTTGAACTTTTGGTTCACTTTACTGTTCTTTTTCTGGATGTACGTATGTAGACCTTTTGTTACGTGTTATGATATGTTTTTGACTTTTATTCCTGTTTAATCGGTGAATTGACTGAATGCACGTTTTGAAGAGGCAATAGTAATCTACAGCTGGGGTGTTTATGTGCATTGTGATTATTAGGTATTGACCATCTTTTTTACTCGTTAGAATGAGTACATAAGTAATTGAAAAAGAATTAACCTAAATAGTTGCCTATGTGACTGTTTAAACCAAAGATAACATGCGAATATGTAATATATGTATATTCTATATATAATGTGTGTATATAACTATGATCAATTAAAGATCATGCTTATTTGTGCAACACGTGTCGGCTATTTGCGTAAAGATTTTGTTGGTAAAGAAGTGCACGATTAGCCACTAATAACACATATATTTACTTTAAAGCCACTGTTTAAAATGTCTTTAGTCTTTAGCCATTGCTTTAATAAATTTTACCTGTCCGGACGAAAACACCCTTCTGCTTATAAAGTTCAGGACCAAGTGTTCTTAACTTTTGAACTTGTAACTCTAAGTTCAGGACTTCAGGACTACATGTCCTTAACTTTTGAACTTGTAACTCTAAGTTCAGGACTTCAAGACTACATGTCCTTAACTTTTGAACTTGGAACTCGAAGTTCAGGACCACCTGTCCTTAATTTCTGTGCTTGTAACTCTAAGTTAAGGACTACTTGCCCTTAACTTTTGAACTTGTAAGTCTAAGTTCAGGACCTATTGTCCTGAACTTTTGAGCTTGTTAGTCTAAGTTCAAGACCAAGTGTCCTTAAATTTTGAACTTGTAACTGTAAGTTCAGGACCACGTGTCCTTAACTTTTGAGCTTGTTAGTCTAAGTTCAGGACCTATTGTCCTTAACTTTTAAGCTTGTTAATCTAAGTTGAGGACCTATTGTCCTTAACTTTTGGGCTTCTTAGCCTAAGTTCAGGACCTATTGTCCTTAACTTTTGAGCTTGTTAGTCTAAGTTCAAGACTTGAGGACCTATTGTCCTTAACTTTTGAACTTGTACTGTAAGTTCAGGACCTATTGTCCTTAACTTTTGAGTTTGTTAGTCTAAGAAAACAAGCAATGAAAAAACAAGATGAAACTAGGCTAACCAGTCAACAATGTCATCAATCGACTCAGGCCAGTGACATGTCAAAAGAGTAATAGTCCCACACAAAACATATATATCTACCTGTTCTGAGAAGCAACAAAGCTCACTATCTGCAAACTTGACTTAATTAAGTGCAATGAAGCAATTTAAGGCATATTAGTGGAGAACAATACAGATCTCGTACGAAGTTTAGTAACTGTAAGTGTAAAAGGAAGCATATAGAGAGATGTTCGTCCAAGTTCAGACTTGATATCGTAATAAAACTGTTCTATGAATTTGTCTTAATTAAGTTCTTTTTAGATGGAAAAATTCAAAGAAACAAACTAATAAGCTCATGATGAAAAGTCAACAGCAGGAGATCTATTTGAAACCTCAACAGAGGGCACATTCTTCTCCCTAATACATGAAAGAGATAGAAGAAAGGATAACACAGTCTTTTCATATTAATTTTAATAGACTAGTGGCTACTATTGCTAAGCATTAAAAATGCTGGATAAAAAATAAATACCACTTTAAAAAGTGGCTACCCCACACAATTTTTACTAATTTGGGTTTGAGTCATGGGTCGCCCATGTGGACTGATCCGACCCTTCTAGAAAGGGGATACGATTGGTAATTTGGAAGGTTATAGGGAAGTTACCCTTGCAGTTTAAACCAATACAATCGCTATTAGTAGTGGGGTAATTAACGTATAGAGAGTGATGAAAAATCCAAAAAAATGCTCTCTCAATTTGCCCAAGAAGTAACGTACTTCTTCTCCTTCTTGACAGAACTTTTCTTCTTCTTTCTTCTCCAGTATACACACATAGATGAAGAGGCATTCAGTTTGTGGGAATACGCTTGGTTTCGTAGTGATTCAAAGGTTGATTTGGGACGATTCTTTTAGTGGTGAGTTCAACGGTTTTCGCTGCATCAATAAGGTACACATCTCATTGTTCTTGCCCCTCATTTTATCTAACAATGGTATCAGAGCAATATATGGTGTATTCTGGTTTGAATACATAGTTGAATGAAGTGATTTGTTATTTTAATGATACGACGGAGTCAGCCGCTTTGCGATATTCACCACTGTCTATGGCGGAAGGGATTTTTTTCTGTTTCAGTGAAAGCAGTGGTAGTAGGTCCTTAGTCCTACCCAATTTAATCCTTCCACTTTAACCACAATTAACAATCGGTTGTTTCCTCCCACGTGTCAAAGAGAATTTGATTGTTATGGTCTTTGTATTTGATTCCAGAAAGAAGATGATATTGTGGCATTCTAAACTTTTAGTTTTTAAAAAAAATGGTAGAAGGGATTCGGTAATTTTTTTTATGGATCAAATATTAAAGGAAAAGACCATGAAAAGATATCTCAAACTCAAAAGACTAAGTTTCATTTGACATAACACAACTGGTGAACCAAAAATGGATAGAATTCTGTTTTCCTATTCTAATGACTTTAAAAGTTATTTTTGTAATGTTGACATGATGATTACCTTATAGCCTTGAAATTTCTGGCTTAGGATATGAGCGAATCATTGTTACTTGCCGTGATAGAAATATATTAAAGCCTTTTATTTTGTAATTTTAGAAGCCTTATTCTTATCGACATGTAACTATGTTAAATTTTCTGTGGCTTGAGACTGAAGTGGAGCCTTTGTTCTGCCTACTGAAAGCAATAACTAGATGTGGGTACTTTAGATGATATTGCCGTGATTATGAGAAAGTATTTGTAAAATCTTTCTCTCGTGGTGCTTTTTTTTTAGCCATTTGTTCGAAACTGATGGCTATAGTCTCTATTTGTTAATGTTCAGTCACTCCTTAATTTTTCCTTAAAAAGTAATACGCACTAGTTAAGATGTTAACATTGCCAACTGTTAAGTTTTAATTTCATTCCTATATAAAAGGAGAAGATGTTGAAGAATGAAGAACTTAGGCACTGTGGTCTTCCACGAGGTTAATAAATAATAAATGCAATTGATCCTAAGTGAAGGGATTGGTCCAAGTCTTATTCCTGTTGCTGTTACTTAAGTGGTCCTGAAAGGGTTTTATAAAGGAGAATATGACCCTTAAACTTAATTTCTCTTGTATGAGTTAATGTGACATGTGTTGTCACATAGAATATTTATAAAATTCATTATAATTGTTTTCTTATTCCCATTTAAGAAATGGCTGGACGGGAAAGGGCTCGAAGTGCGCCAAATGGGAGTGGTACTAAAAGTCGCGCAAGGAGACAATATAGAAGAATGCATCGTCGAAGAACCTATTTCTGTAGCGATACAGATTTAGATTTTGAGGTCATCAGGAATGATGTTCCGAATTCGATACAAAACATCTTTAGGGATGATGGGGCTTGTCATAGGGAAGGGAGAAGAAAATATGAGGAATTTAAAAAGTTCAACATGGACCCATCTGTTCCTATACCAATTCATCTTCACATTTTTTGGTTGAAACTAGCAAAACTGTTTCTCTTATCATATATTAGTCAATACATAGAGAGCTTTAATTATATTCATGGATTCTCTCTTAAGTCACTACGGCAATGTATTGGCTAGTATTTACCATAATTTTGGTCCAAATGAGAACCTTTGGTCATACACTTAGGCGATTGACGTTGAGTGGGAGAAAAATGATGTTGAAGCTAAAATTAAGAAATCATGGCTTCTAAAAGACGTGTCCTAGGCCTCGATTTTATCAACCTTCTCCTAGTGTGACAACCCAGCCGGTCGTCTTATGAATTGTAGACTTGTTCCCCCCTGTTTATTGCTTATTATATGTTCACTTGTGGTTACATGACTTGCTGGGATGGTTGGTTTGGTTCCAGGAATGTTTCGGGGTAAATTGGGACACTTAGCACCAAGGTTGAAAAGCTTAAGTTGAAAGTATTGATCGGATGTTGGCTTATGAATAAATAACTCCGGAATGGAGTTTTCATGGTCCCATAGCTTTCTATGGTGATTTTGGATTAGGATTATATCTGAATATTGATTTGGAGGTCCGTAGATCGTTTTGGCTTGAATTTGCGAAAGTTGGAAAATTGAAGGTTTGGAAGGTTGAGAAGTTTGATCGAGAGTTGACTTTGTTGATACTGGGATCGATTTTGGTTCTGGAAGTTGGAATATGTCCGTTGTGCGATTTATAACTTGTGTGCAAAATTTGAGGTCAATCGGAGTTGGTTTGATAGGTTTTGGCATTGGTTTTAGAAGTTGAAAATTCATTAGTTTCAATAGGCTTGTATTGTGGTGCGATTCATGATTTCGATATTGTTTGATGTGATTTGATGCCTTGACTAAGTTCGTATCATGTTTTAGAATGTGTTGGTATGTTTGTTTGAGGTCACCAGGGCGTCAGGTGAATTACGAATAGTTAACAAATCAAAAGTTGAACTTAAAGCATTGCTGAAGAATTAAGGCTGCTAGTGTAACCGCATCTGCGGTGGGCTTGACCGCAGGTGCGATTGGAGTATTACAGGTGTGGAAGGCGCCTGGTTTGGGGATTTTTGCAGGAGAGAGCTGGAATTCCGTAGAAGCGAAGTTGTTTCTATGATGATCGATTGACAGAAGTGGAGTTTGGACGCGAAGGGCTTGACCGCTGAAGCGGATAGCTTCTGCAGGAGCGGCCTTGCAGGATCGCGAGTAGGACTGCAGAAGCGGACCCACAGAAGCGGAATTTTTGTCACAGAAGCGGCTGGTCGGGATACTTTATGGGCTTCACATATGCGACAATTTTTCCGCAAAATCGAAAGCGTAGGTGCGCTTATTTGGCCCGTAGAAGCGAGATTGCTAGCAGTGTCTTTAAAACGAAGGGTTTGATTGTTTTCCTCATTTTTGGGGTTTTAAAGTTCGGACTAGGGCTATTTTTGGAGAGGGTTTCCACCTAAATTAAAGAGCTAAGTGACTTTTAATCACTTTTGTCCATGAATATTGAATACCCATTGATTATTTCACCTATTTCTCATATTTTTAAGTTAGAATTTGAAGATTTTTGGACTATGTTAGTGGAGAGTGAAATTTGAGTATTTGAGGGGTGATTTG